AATTTCTTCTATAATCCAGTAGTTTTTGAGCAAGGTGTTGTTCAGTTTCCATGTGTTTGATTTTTTTTCCTTGCTTTTTCTGTTGTTGATTTCTACTTTAATGGCTTTATGGTCAGAAAAGATGCTCTGTAATATTTCGATGCTCTGGATTTTGTTAAGGCTTGTTTTATGGCCTAATACATGGTCTACTCTGGAGAAAGTTCCATGTGCGTTGGAAAAGAAAGTATATGTGGCTGCTCTTGGGTGGAGTGTTTGGTATAGGTCTATGAGATCAAACTGGTTGATTGTAGCATTTAGCTCTTCCATGTCTTTGTTGAGCTTCTTTCTGGATGTTCTGTCCTTCACTCAAAGTCGTGTGTTGAAGTCTCCTAGTACTATTGTGAAGCTGCCTATCTCTCTTTTCAGTGCTGTTGGAATGTTTTATGTATTTTGGGGTCTTGCCATTGGGTGCGTAAATATTTACTATAGTTATGTCCTCCTGGCGTATTGACCCTTTAATCATTATACAGTGTCCTTCCTTATCCTTTGCAGTGGATTTTACTTTAAAGTCTGTTTTGTCAGAGATTAATATTGCCACCCCTGCTCTTTTTTGAGTGTTGTTTGCTCGATATATTTTTTTCCACCCTTTGCATTTTAGTTTGTGTCTTTAAGTCTAAGGTGTGTCTCTTGTGGGCAGCATATAGGCAGATCATGTTTTTTAATCCAATCTGCCACTCTCTGTCTCTTTATGGGTGCATTTAGTCCATTTACATTCAGTGTAATTATTGATAGGTATGAGTTTAGTGCTGTCATCCTGATATCTCTTTCTGTGTGTTGTTCACAGTTTCTTTATTCTCCTTGATTTTCTGTGCTGAGTCATTTTTCTTTATGTATTTTCTTCTCACTTTGCTCATGACATCTTCTTAGCTACTAGATCCTTTTAGAATCTGAACTCATCATGTAAGCGTAAGGTTGTCGTGTGCCGTCACCTTATGAAGTGTAAGGTTAATAAGGTTAAATGTATTTTGTGATTATAAAAACTATGTCATGAGTTAATGAAAACAGAATGCAGTGAGTTTATAGAGGCTTCATGCAATTTGCAATTAATAATTTTATGATAAGATGTGAAAATAAATCTATACTTATATGCACATATAATCGTAGTTTGAGTGGCCTCAGAACTTATATTAGACCTCTGTGTAGTCTGTAGCCTACATTCTTGTCACACTCGTCCATCTGAATGGCCTTCTTAGTCTCTAGGGCTAATTACAGGCCACAGCTAATTGAAAGAGGAGAATATTGCTCCTGCTGGGCCTGCCTGTTTAGTTATTAATTCAGGCTTTGTGACCCAGTTCCCATCTAGCTAAGTAGATAATGACTTTTATTTTTGATTAAAGGAATTTTTTTTTACAGAAGTTTCCCAGGCCAAGGGAGGAGAGGAGGTGAGCAGGGTCACAGACCAGGCCAAGGGAAGATAAGAGGGACCTGGGGGCTTACAGCCAAAGGGATGGGCCAAGCAGGGTAGGGCCTGGGTGACAGCCACAGCAGGAGGAACCAGTGAAGAGATACTCCGGAGGACTTCCCTGACATCTGCAGAGAGGAAAAGCTGGACAAAGCTACTGAAACTCCTCCATCAGCATCTAAGATGGCCAGGAAGCAGCCAGATCAGTTTGGTACCGGAGCCAGAAGCCTGATCAAGAACCCAAAGGGCCCTGAAGCCCCAGGACTGGTGTATGCAAGGGGCTAAGGCCCAGCTAGGGCTGGCGGATTCACAGATGACAGTGAAAAACCAAAAGATCATTTCAAGTATTTAATGATAATCCAAATTTAAAGTGAACTGAAAAATAAAAACTTGTTTACAAAATAACTCTCATGATTTATGAATAGGAATATAAACATTTTATAAATGGAACATATAAAACGGCTGGCTTGATGAGAAAGGAGGAAAAAGCACACATGAATGAACTTGGAATCAGATCCTTCAGCCACAGTGAAGCTTCCAGGTGCCTGCAGCACAGACTGACATCTGGATTGCAATTTCATGGGACCCTGAGCTAGAACCACCCAGCTAAGCTTTTTCCAAAGTCCTGACCAGGGAAACAGTGAGGTAACAACTGCTATTTTAAACCTCTAAGTGTTGGGGGTAATCTGTTATGCAGCAACAAGCAACAGATAGCTAAAACAGTACTGTTTCTATTAAGAAAAGTATAATCATGGTTCTGACATCTATTCCACTCGAACTATTGGTGCAGATATTGGACATTTCTGGCTTAGATTCTGAGTATCAGCAAGAGAAATTTAATATACTCTTTCTCTGTTAATCACTGTCTCTGACTAGGACACCTAAAACAAAAAAAAAAAATTAGCAGTCGAGTCAATTCCAACTCATAGCAACCCTATAGGACAGAGTACAACTGCCCTATAGCATTTCCAAGGAGCAGCTGGTGGATTCGAACTGCTGACCTTTTGGCTGGCAACCGAGCTCTTAACCACTGTGCTGCCAGAGCTCCAAACCCACTGCCAACTGAGTCTACTCCAACTTGTAAGTGTACCCATTTTTCTTTTTACTTTTTTCTTCCTTTTTCACTTCCTGCTCCTCCCTGTACAAACAGAATGGACCCATGAACTTCCTAAACTGTAAAACAGTTTTATGTTTATTTTACATATTCACTTCAATGGGAAGGTTTCTTCAGAGTAGTAATTATAATATTCTTTATACCTGCTATGCACAAAATCTGATGTGCTCAAGGTGTTTAATAAATATTTCATTACAAGGGGTAGGCAGGTAAGCAGTCCTCTGCCTATGAACTAAAGATATTATTACTTGGGATGGTTTCTCTGCCATAAGAGCCAGTCACCAAAACCATAATTTTCTATCACCAAGACCGTAATTTTCTATGACTTGCAGGAGTCACTTTCTTCAGTGGCCAACCTGCCACTATCTCATCCCTATTATATTAAAATATCATCAAATACAGGCCATCAAGGTATACATAGTACTAATTCCCTCTTAACTCCACAAACGTATAATTAGCTGGTTACTTGTATGCTATCATGTATTGTCTACTAAAAATCTCTTTGGCATGATATCTGCCACCACAAACAAGTAATAAGAGTTAGCAAATTTCCAGTGTAAATATCATTTTCTGCTTCGCTCCCCGCCCCCATCTCACAAATACTTTTTAAAAAATTGCCTTCATTACACTTTATAAGTAAGTCTTTTTTGAGCGGCAGAGTTGTTGCGCTCCCTCTATATACTTAATACATATAATTTCTTCAGTACTATAATATCAAAAGCAGATGCCAAATCTGATGCCGTTAACTTACGAAGGAAACACAAACCTTGCCCACTTTCATTGAAACTTTTTATAGTCATCAGATATCTGCAAATAAAATGTTTAGTTTCTATGGCCATGACGAAGAAAACATACAATTTTGAATTTCAACATGTTTTAAGTCTCAGCAAATTCCCAAAGTCGTTCTTTTGTAAGGTTAGTATGACGCAATAATTTTTAAAATGTCAATTAAGAAAATAGGGCCGGAAGAAGCCCCGGCGTCTGCACCGAGGGGACCATGTTACACTTAACAGTATTGAAGTCTCTGGGAATCCAGGGTTCTGAATGGCTCTTAAACCTGTATACCTGGTAAGGATCGCAATAGGTTCCTCCAGCAAAACTCCCCGGCACCACTCCTCCTCATCCACTCCCCCCCCGCCACCCCCGCCACCCAACGGGCACAGAGCCTAAGCGAGGGCTGGGTATTTATGGGATCTATGAGTGACAAAGCCAGAGGGCGACAGTGCCGGCTGGCGCGACTCCCTGCCCTCTCTGCACATCATGCCTACCCGGAACTCGGACCTTTCAGACTTCAGGCTCGGTTGGTCCCCGCCTCCGGCTTCCCACATCAGACGCAGCTTCACGCAGTCCATTCTGGCCCCCACCCGCCCCGTCTCTCTCAGCAGCTCAGCCTAACCCACCCTAGCTCTCTTGGCTGAAGCACGCAGCGGGAACACAGCCCCACCCCTCTCTCCGCCCCTTCGCCTGGCACCATAGAGACGCCAGGTGCGGCCGGAGCGGCTCCAGCCGGCACCGTCAGCTGAGGACATCGGGATAGTGGCCCTACTCTGAGCCGAGGGAAGGCGATACTTGAGTGCTTTCTGGTCGCGCGAGTGGGTACCTCGAGTTCTCCCCGGCCCTGCCTAGAAAAGGAGACCTTTGGAACGACTGGGTGGGATCTGAAAAGTGCCTTGTTGGTTTCCTTCTGTCAAATCTGAGGATTAGTTTCTCGGCGTAGCCGGCGCCATGTCACAGACATAGCCGTTGACACCCCCAAGACGTACTCAAGCGGTGACTGGGAAGCTGGGGACGGAGAAGTGGCCTCACCGAATGCGGGACGTACAGGCCTTATCCCCCAGACGCTTGAGCTAGGAGTCACCGCCGTCGTGTGTCACGAGGGTGTTCAGATTTTTCCGCCTTCCTTCAATGGATACTTCAGTGTGGGCGTCGGAGAGTTTCTCACAGGACGGTGAGACTGCGCGATGTTGCAGACCTGACGCTCTTCTGTAGCGCTTTACCGCCCCCTTGGGGATCTCTTGATAATTATTCTTTGCCACTATGTACGTGGGGGGCTACTCTTCTTTGTGGATAGCAGTGACACGGGCTAGAACAGTTAATCATGACTAAATGCGCAGTCGAAAAAACGACTCCAGTTAATTAACTGGACTCACAAGATGCAGCCTGTTTACTGGGACTTTGGCCAGGTCCCGTTCCCCCTGTCTCGGGATGGTGGGTGCTGTCTTAGCAGAGAGCAGAGGTCTAGCTTGGCTTTTGGCTCTAGGAAACACTGGCCCATAAGAGGAGGCCCAAAGAGGAACATTCTTTCTCCTTCCCACCTACAGTCTCCCGAAACAAGTGTCAGGTAGAAGCAAGGGCAGCAGTGAGATCATATTAGTTATATAGTTGAAAGAGATCATAGAAAATTGTAATCGTCAATCACAAACCAACTCCTAGGCTACTCACATAGATGCTGAGTGTGGCTCAGTTTCTCAATCATATAATTTTTCATTGCCTGTCACACTCAATTCATGGCCAATGAAGACTCAGTTGAGGAGGAAAAATTATACACATTTTAACCCACAGAATTTAAAAGGTAATTAAAAATAACTGTCACCAAATACATTAACAATTGAGTGCTGTCAAGTATAGAAAGATGACACATTTTCTGTCTGAAGGCAGTAACGGTTTGCCATTGACCTTCTAGGGTATATGTCTTATCACAGCCTAGGCCTTCTAGAGCTACTGAGGGACAACATAAATGGCTTCCTGCAACCAAAACAGTACAAAATATTTACAAGTTTTTTCTGTAATCGGTCTACTACCTAAAGGCACTGATTAATTTATACAACACATACTGAGTGCTCTCACTGTGCCTAGCACTATGCTTGGCACTGAGGCTACAGAATAACTTTATGAACATCAAGTTCTAGTGGGAGCTATAGACCATAAAGAAATAAGCTAGACAGTAGTAAGTGCTGTTAAAGGAAATAAATAGGGTGATATAATAGAGAATAACTGGGAGAGGCCAACTTTAGACAGGGTAGTCAAGGAGGCCCCTCTGAGGTGGTGATATTTGTGTTGAGACCTGAAGGGTAGGGAAGAGCCCAGTGTGAGAGAAGCTGAAGAGAGTATTGTGCACATTCAAATAACTGACATTACTCCTATCTACTGTACTCTGCTTTTATTGTCCATTTTTCTCTGCCGCTTCCTTTTATGTGAAGAGGTTGGTCTTTTATAGAAATCAGAAGTTACCTGAACATTTCTGGTTGTATTTAGTGTAATCTTTAAGTTTTTTTAGCTGTGTGGTTTTGTTTAGCTGTATGGTTTTGTTATAATATATATAATGCTTTTGATGAGCCCCTTTCTTAGTTTCACACACTTTGCGGCACATATCTTTTCATATGTTCAAAAGATGAAACTACCTGGTTCATCAGACAGTTCTGACAAAATTTAATCTTTGCTGAAGTACACAATTCTCAGTTTGCAACAGTATTGCTTAGATAAGGTTTTTTGTCGTTGTTATTTTTATAAGATCTATTTCTCATCTCATAGTTCTATCAAACAATACTTGGAGTAGAACAACTAAATAGAAAATTACCAAACTTATAATCCTGCATATTAAAAAACAAACAAAACCTGCAGATTAATAGTCAGTGTTCTATAAGGTAAAAACAAACTTTGTGGATTTTTTTCTCACAAATCTGAAATAATAGTTCAAAATTTTCAAAATAGTTCTTTATTAATAAAATATAAATATATATTTTAAAATTTACAAGTTAGGTAAATTGCCTCCAAAGTTACATGTCAATTCTTAATACAATCGTTGTACAGAAATACTATATACAACTTCTTGGATTAGTAGTGATTCTTTTTATCAGTCACTTGAAACAACATCCTTAAGGCTTAATGACATGTTATAATAATTCCATTTTTCACTTTTTAGACTTTGACAGAAGATGGTCAATATCTTGAAGAATTTCAGAGGTTTTTTTCAATGCTACTAATACGCTCTTTTCATTAACTTCTAGCAAGGTTTCAGAAGATTTTGGTTTGCAATGATCAGAAGACTGCTGGTTTTTCTTGTTAGAAATCTGGTTTAGGACATCACTATTCTCCAGTAACACTGAGTTGATTAGTTAAGGAGTTTTCCCCTACATTTTTTCATTATATTTTTATTTTCAGAAAGCCTGACCTTTTTGTTAAATATTCTCAATCGGGAGGAAGATCGCTTGGGTTCCTAATAGTTTAGAGTTGGGACTTCAGAGCTCATTGAGTTAGATTTGATTGATTATAAAGGGAGGAGGAAGGAAGAAAGAGTAAATATATGTGTTGGGATGGATGTAGGTAGTGGGGAGGAAACAGAAGAATTAAAATCTCAGTAACATTTCTCTAAGCGAAGAAGTGATATAGGAATGATAGGGAACAAAAGTAGGGATAATAGGATTCTGAGCGGTCTGTGTTTTTATTTTTTAATTAAAAAACATATAGATTAAGAAGAAACTTATCTTCTGTTGCAGAGCTACTTTATCATTTGAATAGGATTAAACAAAAATCAGAAGATGAAACAAATTTAGATGAAGGCGATGAGACCATACAGAACGAAAGAGTTTGTAAGAAAAAGTAGTTAGGGACAGGTCTCAAAGTTACAATTTAGAATATAATTACATAAGTGAAAACGTGTCCAGAGAAGACCTAAACCCTAATTCACTATTTTTTGTCTGATTTAAACCCAGAGAAGGGTATAAATGTTAACATGATGTACCTTCAACAGACAGATTACATCTTAAATTACAATCTTAAAATATCCACGCTTATTCAATAAAGCTCAGCAATATGTAAGTATGGATTCATATTCATAAAGTACAGAGTCATAAATTAAGCCAAGAATGGAAAAGGAGTAGTTATGCAGGATAATAAATTCTGTTTAAAGGATACAGTTAAACTTCTGTATCTTTTCAAGTTCAGAAGCAACAGACCTGTGCAAGGAAAAAAAAGTTCAGGATGGTTGTCTGATTCTTTTGTATCCACAAAATTTCATATAAGCATACCTGACTTTTTTTCATAAGGGATAGAATCTTAAACAGAAGAACCTTCAAGTTAAAAACTCTGTATTAGCTGCATTTATTTGACTCAGTCGATACTTAAGCACTTTTTTTTAGATGTTGACATGGTTTTAGTATCATCCGATCATCTTTTCACAAGAGTACTTAAGATCTGTCAGAGCAGTCACTGACTGATGAGAGTACACCCACTCTTCACTGACAAGGTTAGGTTCCAAAGACCAGGTCATTATGCGAAAATCGGCATTATGCGAAAATGGAGGATTTTTTTTGTTTTCAGACCCCGCATGTTCAATTTTTGTTTTTAATTTAGAAAATATAACCATAGAAATAATAACAACTAAGATTTACTGATGTGCTCATCACTGTGAGGAGTCCAGTTATGGATTATTCCTCTGTGGAGAAGGAGGATTGGAGGAGACAAAGCTGGATAAAGCCAGGCTGTGTGACTGGAGGGCCCAGGGTTTAACCACTTCACCTTTCTCCAGTGCTGGGTCAGAGCTTCCCTAGCTGAGCTGCCTCTAGGGCTCCACTCCCACCCCAGCAAGCCATGCCTTCAGGATCCTGAAGCCTTCTCTGCCCTCCAGGCCTGGCGACTCACCAAGGGCTTCCTGCAAGGGCACCAGGAGCCTGGCCACGCACCAGGCCCCACCGAGGTGGAAGCTTCAGGCCCAGTTCAGCTTACTTTGGGATGTCATTAAACGAGTACACATTTCTTCCAAACACCCTCTCTGATGCCTCTTTCTTTCCTCCCTTCCTACCCCACAGTAATTTTGTGCTGCAGAGCTGCAGGGCCTCAGGCCACGTAGAAGGTGGGAACCCAAAACGGGCCAGTGGGTGCTGCCTGCACATCCACCTGAAGGCTGTGGCCACTGAGGAGGTCAACGCCTCCTGGCAGGAGGGAGCGGAGGGCCCAGGGCAGCACAGCCCAACTTCCCAAAGGCCACCCAGAGACCCTCCTTGAGGGAGGGAATGCCCCACAGCTGTTGCTGCCAAGTCCACTGCCTCGTTAATGCACAAAATAGTCGGACAGTAGATTTTTTACTAACGTTGTAAATGCGAAATGTTGGATAATGAGATAATAAGTGAGGAGTAGGTGTAGTTAGGCAATAAAGAGAGCTAAAATGCTTCAAGAGACATGCTGAAGTGTGATACATCTATTCTTCTCGTTTGGAAATAAGTAAATAGAATAGACCATGGTGCATAAAGCACCTAGAAGTGGAACATTTCAGTGGGAGAGGCAAAATACCAGGTTCCCTGTCTAGTTCAGGACCACAGCTACTTCAGGAGAGAAGGGAGGCAGACAAAGGCAGGCTATTAACAGCAATGCCTCTTATTCTTTGGCTACAACTGCAGCTGCATACTTAGGCTGATTTTGTCCCTAAATGTTAACTGGGCTGATTAGATTGAAATCTGTATAAAATAATCCACATGAAACAGAAGGAAAAAAATCACAAATACTGAGAAAATATATTTCCTTGAAGCTGTTCTAACTCTGGATTTTATTAAACACATTTGATTTTCTTCTTAGCAGGAAGGGAAGGAGGACAGCTCAAAATCACTAAATTCAGAATCTATGTGTAATTGCTATGGTAGGCTCAAATCTGATTTAAACATCCCCAGCTATGGGATTTGGTGACCAGAGAGCAGAGATGTGAAAGTCCTTGTAAAGGTCACCAGTGCTGAGAGTTCTTTTTTTTTCTTTTTGATTTTATTAGATATTTAAAAAATGAAATGCAAACACGTGTGCTTAAAAATTTTAATGATCATCCCATAAATAGAAAAATAAAATTCCTCCTCTCCACTTGGTGCTCCACTCTCTGTCCCTTTGGCTCCCCTACCTCCATTAATTATTCTTTCTTTTCTTTTTACTGTGGTAAAAACTCATGCAACACCCAACAGACAGTGTCTGCTCCATAAGGCCTATCTCCTCACTGTCTGCACAGGCCAAAATATACATTTTACTTTGGCCCTTGCTTCTTGCCTAAAATGTCCTACTTTCCCTAAATTTTCTTTTGAAGCCCAGTTCTAGTCCCCTGCACATTGAAAGGCACCCAGAAGAGACTAAAATACTTGCTTTACTTATTAATGTGCCTATTAATTTTGGGGAGGTAATTAATACGGTATTATTTAAATATCAACTTTTCCTGAAAGCTTATTATGCTAGTCAACATTTATTTCCTTTAATATTATCAAAAATTTAAAATCCTCTTTTAAATTTTTTCATAAAGTTTTAGAATGAATTTATCACATAAAAAGAACCATAACCATTTTGATGTGACGTTTTCGATGCAAAGTTTTTCTGACCTTCAAGATGACATATGATAAATTAGAAGTCTCATAAAATAAATAAAAAACAAAACAATAATAAAGTTATTTTCAAACTTAAACAATCAAAAACATTATCAAACCAAAAAAAACCAAACCCGTTGCTGTCGAGTCGATTCCGACTCATAGTGACCCTACAGGACAGAGTAGAACTGCCCCATAGTTTCCAAGGAGTGCTTGGTAGATTCAAACTGCCAACCTTTTGCTTAGCACCCGTAGCACTTAACCACTACACCACCAGGGTTTCCAAAAAACAAAACCTACAAGAGTTCAATATACTTAATTAAAATGAAGAAAGTTTTTTGGGCAAAAACTTTCAGAGTTTACCATTTGACACCTTAATTTTTAAGTATTAGTTGGTTCTTCTAAACAGATTAAGTTTAAAAGAAGGATAAATACCAATTTTCTTCAAGAACAGAAGATGAAGGATGTGTGGGCATCTCTTTCAGACTGGCCTGGGTCAGTTTTCTACACCATGATATTACTGTTGTCACATATCTAGATTGAATATGTTAAAATAAATATTTGAAAAATGAACTTATATAAATTATAAAAGTATTCAAAAAAAGGAGAAAAATCATTGATAATTTTGGAAAGGATAAAGGAAAAATTTTTATTTTTTTATTGTACTTTAGGTGAAGGTTTATAGAACAAATAGTTTCTCATTAAACAGTCAGTACACATATTGTTTTATGACATTGGTTAACAACCCCATGACATGTTGACACTCTCCCTTCTCGACCTTGCAGGGTGTTTTTTTTTTCTCTTTTTGGTGAAAATATACATAGCCAAAGATACAGCATTTCAAAAATTTCTACACGTAAAATTCAGTGATATCTATTACATTCTTCCAGTTGTGCTGCTATTCTCACTATCCTTTTCCAAATTATTCCACCACCATTGTCCAACTCAATGCCCACTAGGCTTCCCATCAAACCTTTTGAGTTGCTGTTGTCAATTTGATCTCACATAGATAATAATTTTTTTTTTGGTACTTTAGATGAAGGTTCACAGAACAAAATAGTTTCTCATTAAACAGTACACATATTGCCTGCCCTATGACAATCGTTAACAACCCCACAATATGTCAACACTGTCCTTACTCAACCTTGGGTTCCCTATCACCAGCTTTCTTGTCCCCTCCTGCCTTCTAGTCCTTGTCCCTGGACTGCTGTGCCTCATTAGTCCTGTTTTGTTTCATGGGGCTGTCCAATCCCCGGCTGAACTGTGAACCTCGGGAGTGACTTCGCCTCTAAGCTAAAAGGGTGGCCGGAGGCCATACTCTCGGGGTGTCTCCAGTTTGTCAGGCCAGTAAATCTGGTTTTTTTTTGTGTGTTAGAATTTTGTTCTACATCCTTCTCCAGCTCTGTCCAGAACCCTCTGTTGTGATCCCGGTCAGAGCAGTCAGTGGTGGTAGCCAGGCACCATCTAGCTGTACTGGACTCAGTCTGGTGGAGGCCTTGGTAGCTGTGGCCCATTAGTCCTTTGGACTAATCTTTTCCTTGTATCCTGTTCTCTTCATTCTCCCTTGTTCCTGAAGGTGTGAGACCAGTGGAGTATCTTAGATGGTTGCTCACAGGCTTTTAAGACCCCAGACACTACTCACCAAGGTAGAATGTAGAACATTGTCTTTATAAACTGTGTTATGCCAATTGAGCTAGATGTTCCCCAAGACCATGGTCCCCACAGCCCTGCACCCAGCAATTCAGTCCCTCAGGAAGTCTGGATGTATCTGTGGAGCTTCCATGATCTTTCAAAAGGAAAATTTTTAAAGTGAAGCATTTAGCAGGGGATTTTCCAGATCTTTTTCACTGAATATAGAAAAGTCATGTTTTTCCCATTCATCAAAAATAAAATGATTTACTCAGATGCATGATTAAGATGACATTTAAGAATCAAAACAAAGGTGGTCATTCAAAGTAAAAATTCAAATATGTAAATTCTCCTTGTAATTTTTCAATGTAAAATGTAAGTTTTATCATGAAAATGTCTTTACACATATTATTTAAGTGAGCGTTTGCTTACCAAAATTTAAACCAGAAAATAACCATTATTGCTTGCATATATATACATATATATATACACACATATAAATTATACATAACTCATTGAATATACAGAACAAGTATCAATTTTAATAAAATGAATGATCTGAAATGATTAGTTAAAACAAGTAGTAACATTTGCTACAGACAGTATCTTTTTGAGGCAAATTATGGTATTCAAAATAGCAATAAATGTTAGAGTATGTAGACCAAAAAGTAATAAAGTCCAACAGAAAAATAAATTCAAGAAGTAGAAAAGCAATTCCTTTGTGATACTCTCAAGCAAAATCACTAAAATGTCAAGAATATTACAATTAGAATTACTATAAATAATTAAAAATTACATGAGCCAAAAGAGAAAAAGCATATTCATAATCTGATTTCAAGAATCTTCTCCATTTTAAGAATAATCAATCAGCTCATTTTTTCTACTTTATAGAAATATACAAGTATAGTTATTTGTTGTTGGAAACTTTATTTCAAATTGGTTAGTTAATTGGTTAACACAGATGACCACAGCCCAACATCTACAGCAAGCCAGCTATGTCTACAACATTCTTCATTTGAAAAATCACTTGAATGTAAATGAAAATGATTAAAGAAGACCCGATCTACTTACACTTAATTATGCTAGGTGCCAATGTAACTATATTTGGATATTTGTAGAAATTATTTAATTCAATTGCCCATATGGAAAAACTAAAAATATATATAACATTTAAATAATATGGATAATACACCTCCTCCCTGTCAATTAAAAGTAATTTATTAACATGAAAATAATTTTAAAGATTGTTTTCAGTACCTTTCATATCGTCCAGGGTGTTCAATTTGAATTAGCTTATCTTGTCCATCGGGGAAAGTTAACTTACACCAACCTAAGCTGAGACTTTGATTTACCTTAAGAAGCAAGAAGAAAGGTAAGTTTTATCACTGTAAAACAAACACCAGCAAAACAAAACAAACCAAACCAAATCAACTCTCTTCTAAATTATCAATTTAAAAAATAAGAACCAGATGAACCAAAACCAAAACCAAATCCACCGCCAATGAGTTGATTCCGACTCATAGCAACCCTATAGGCCAGAGTAGAACTGCCCCATAGGGTTTCCAAGGTTGTAAATCTTTACAGAAGCAGACTTCCGTATCTTTCTCCTACAGAGCGGCTCGTGGGCTCAAACTGCCGATCTTTCAGTTAGCAGCCAAGTGCTTTAACCACTGAGCCACGAGGGCTCATAAGAACTATATGAATCATTAAAAATTTATTTTGACTAAGCTAAAATTTGTTTGACATGGCATACAGGTATTATTTATATAATCACCACTCATATAATTATCGAAAAGAATAAAAATACTAGCATCTCTCTATATAATGAGTTATCTTTATTAAAATGATTATTTGCCACACCATTCTGATTTACTGCTAGGAAATCCAATGAGATCAGTAAAGCCTCTAGACAGATTTTATACTTCAAAAAAACAAAAAATGAGATAGTCTGGTACTTTATTTTCTTTGTTCTATTTTCCAGAGATAAATAAACAATATAGATTTCAGTCTGAAGTATACTCACCTGTCTCTTTTCAGTGAAAAAGCTGAAATTCCAATTTAAGGTTAGGGTAATCCCATCTAAAAAGACAGCATGCACTTTGTCATCAGAGTATGCAAGAAATCTTCCCACACTGGGTATGAGGGATTCTCTCAAAAGCAAAGGCAGTATATTGTTATCATTTATCCCAGGTACCTAAGTCCAAGTAAATAAACATAGCAGGAAATAGAGTTATCCACTAACAAGATTTAAATGAATATTAATGAACTCTGAGACAACTTCAGATTCTTATTTAGAAATTGAATACTGTAGAATCTTTATGTTTTAAATTTTCTAGAAGCAGATACTCAAAACATACAGCAACATACAGGTGTGCAATCAAATTAGTATAGATATAAAAATCAAAGTGAGAATCACTTCCTCCAGGTCAGCATTAAAAGACTAACTTTTACATTAAAAAAGCATAGTAGAATAATATAGTATCATGGTTTCTAATGACTATATTTTTTATGTACTCCAAATCTACCACTCTTCTGTCAGCTTGTGGTACTGTAGTGGCTTGTGTGTTGCTAGGATGCTGAAAGCTATGTCACCAGTATTTTAAATACCAGCAGGGTCACCCATGGTGGACAGCTTTCAGCACAGCTTCCAGACAAAGACAGACTATGAAGAAGGCCCTGGCAATCTACTTCTAAAAATACTGACCAGTGAAAACCTTATGGATAGCAGCAGAACACTGTCTGATATAGTGCCGGAAGACGAAGCCCTCAGCTTGGAAGGCATTCAAAATATGACTGGAGAAGAGCTGCTTCCCCAAAGTAAAGTCAACCTTAATGACATGAATGGAATAAAGCTTTCAGGATCTTCATTTGCTGATGTGGCACAACTTAAAATGAGAAGTAACAGTTGCAAACATCCATTAATAATTGGAACAAAAAAATGCATGAAGTATCAATCTAGGAAAATTGGAAGTTATCAAAAATGAAGTGGAAAGCTTGAAGATAGATATCCTAGGCATTAGTAAGCTGAAATGGACTGGTATAGGCCATTTGGAATCAGACAATCAATCATATAGTCTACTATGGCAAGAATGACAAACTAAAGAGGAATGGCATAGCATTCATCATCAAACAGAACACTTCAAGATCTATCATGAAATACAATGCTGTCAGTGATAGGATAATATCCATATGCCTACAAAAAAGATCAGTTAATAAGATTATTTTTCAAATTTACACACCAACCACTAAGGCCAAAGACAAAGAAATTGAAGATTTTTACCAATGTCTGCAGTCTGAAATTAATCAAACATGCAATCAAGATGCATTGATAATTACTGGTGACTGGAATGTAAAAGTTGGAAACAAGAAGAAGGATCAATAGTTGGAAAATATGGCCTTGGTGAAAGAAACAATGCTGGATATCACATGATAGAATTTTGCAAGACCAATTAATTGGGAATACCTTTTTTCAACAACAAAAATGGCGACTGTACACGTGGACCTCGCCAGATGAAATACATAGGAATCAAATAGACTACATCTGTGGAAAGAGATAATGGAGAAGCTCAACATCATCAGTCAGAACAAGGCCAGTGGCCAACTGTGGAACAGACCATCAATTGCTCCTAGGCAAGTTAAAGTTGAAGCTGAATAAAATTAAATGAATTCCACAAGAGCAAAAGTATGACTTTGAGTATATCCCACCTGAATTTAGAGACCATCTCAAGAACGTACTTGATGCACTGAACATTAATGACTGAAGACCAAGCAAGTTGTGGGATGACATCAAGGACATCATACATGAAGAAAGTAAGAGGTCATTAAAAAGACAGGAGAGAAAGTAAAAACCAAAATGGATGTCAGAAGAGAATCTGAAACTTACTCCTGAACGTAAGAGTAGCTAAAGTGAATGAAAGAAATGATGACGTAAAAGAGCTGAACAGAAGATTTCAAAAGGCAGCTCAAGAAGACAAAGTATTATAATGAAATGTGCAAAGACCTGGAGTTAGAAAACCAAAAGGGAAGAACATGCTCAGCATTTCCTAAGCTGAAAGAACTGAAGAAAAAATTCAATCCTCGAGTTACAGTATCGAAGGATTCTATGGGCAAAAACTTGAATGACGCAGGAAGCATCAAAAGAAGATGAAAGGAATGCAGTTACTGTACCAAAAAGAATTGGTCAACATTCATCCATTTTAGGAGGCAGCATATAATCAAGAACCAATGGTACTGAAGGAAGAAGTCCAAGCTGCACTGAAGGCATTGGTGAAAAACAAGGCTCCAGGAACTGACAAGATATCAATTAAGATGTTTCAACAAATGGATGCAGTGCTGGAAGCATTCACTTGTCTAGGCTAAGAAATTTGGAAGACAGCCAACCAACTGGAAGAGATCCATATGTATGCCTATTCCAAAGAAAGGTGTTAAAAAGGAAAGATACCACTTTGAGAACCAAGGTGTACCCGACCCAAGTCATAGTATTTTCAATAGCCTCAAATGCATATGAAGCTGGACAATGAATAAGGTATACCGAAGAACTGATGCATTTGAATTGTGGTGTTGGTGAAGAATACTGAATATACCATGGTCTGCCAGAGAACAGGAAACCCTGGTGGCGTAGTGGTTAAGAGTTCGGCTACTAACCAAAATGTCGGCAGTTCGAATCCACCATGTGCTCCCTCAAAACCCTATAGGGCAGTTCTACGCTGTCCTATAGGGTCGCCATGAGTCAGAATCAACTCGATGGCAATGGGTTTTTGGGCCAGAGAACGAACAAATGTGTCTTGGAAGAAGTAAAGCCAGAATGCTCCTTAGAAGCAAGGATGACGAGACTTTATCTCATGTTGTTTGGACATGTTATCAGGAGGGACCAATATCTGGAGAAGGACATCATTCTTGGTAAAGAAGAGGGACAGTGAAAAAAGGGAAAACTCTCAATGAAATGGATTGTCACAGTGGCTGCAATAAAGTACTCAAACACAGCAATGACTGTGAGGATGGCGCAAGACTGGGCAGTGTTTCGTTCTGTTGTACATAGGGTCGCTATGAGTTGGAACTGACTCAAGGGCACCTAACAACAACATAATACAAACTCAACAAATCCAATCAATACCCCTGCCCTTACCCCTCCCATTACAAAGAATGAAACAAAAATAATAATGTATAATAAAAGTGTGATACGGAAGCCTGATTCTGAAGTGTTCTTCTATTAGGCAGGTATTTTTCTGAATAATCCAATATTAACGTTACACAGAATTTTTTACATGACTTAGATGAAAGCAGTTTAAACTTAGAAGTATTAAAAAATATCTTGCTTTTGAAATAATTTTAACATACCATTTTCCAGCAGCATATATGATAGTTATGGCTTAAAGAAAGCCTTATCTTGGCACAATGTTGAAGAATTCTGTGAACATAAAAAACACTGCTTAAATATTTGCAAATAAGGGCATTTTCCAGTTCTAGCAACTCATCTTCAATTTCATATAACATTTTTAGGTGGCAGGTAACTCATTTCTACTAGCCTCTTTTCCTGTAGAAATTCCTAAGCCGCTAGAAAGGAACTACTGTTGCTTCCCTTTGTGCTAATCTCACTTATTAAGGTATTATTCTAATTTTTAGCAAAGAAATGACTCTAAATGAAGAGAATTTTCACGTGTTTCTTTTCAAGAGGTGACAAATGCACAGTGCCTAAAAGGTTTTTAGCATAGCCTAAAGTGGTGGTGATGTGAATCAAGTGTCCCTCGAAAATCAAATTATAAATTCTGCTCCTTCAGTTCTACTTTGGAAGTTGTTTGGACATAAATTATAAAAATAAATAATCCAACAATCCACTTTCATTCTTCTAGGTGCCACAGATTAACTAACTAAGAGGAATAAAAACATATAACCAAAGACTCAAAATATACTTCATCTTTTGTACATTCTCAAAAATCTTTATTACTTTGAGGATAGTAAAGAAGTATGGAATTTAAAATGTATCATCAAATCTCCAACTTAATTCCAAGGACCAGAAATGATATCACACTTACCCAGAGAAAAAGTATTTCCAGCCAGCACTTGCTCTCCACATATAGGTGTTTCTCCATATTTAACTTTAAATTTTAAAGCCAGAAATACTCTTATTGACACAGAAATTACCTTGTTTTATAAATAATGAAACCTGAGACTCAGAAGAGTTGACAGATTTTACCAAAGACATATTTTTATTGTACCTATCAATTCTCAACCTTATCCCTAACCACTAGAAAATGTATTTTCAAGTTGTACAAGCCCCAACAAAAAAAAGCCCTGGCCCAGACGGCTTCACTGGAGAATTCTACAAAACATTCACAGAAGAGCTTGTACCAGTACTACTCAAGCTATTTCAGAGCATAGAAAAGGAAGCAATACTTCCGAATTCATTCTGTGAAGCCAGCATAACGCTGATACCAAAACCAGGCAAAGACGCCACAAAAAAAGAAAATTACAGACCAGTATCTCTCATGAATATAGATACAAAAATTCTCAACAAAATTCTAGCCCATAGAATTCAGCATCATATCAAAAAAACAATACACCACGACTAAGTAGGATTCATACCAGGTATGCAAGGATGGTTCAACATCAGAAAATCAATCAATATAATCCACCACATAAACAAAAGGAAAGAAAAGAATCACATGATCATCTCAATTGACACAGAAAAGGCATTTGACAAAGTCCAACACCCATTCCTGATAAAAACTCTCAACAAAATAGGTATAGAAGGGAAATTTCTCAACATAATAAAGGGCATCTATGCAAAACCAACGGCCAACATCATTCTTAATGGAGACAGGCTGAAAACATTCCCCTTGAGAACAGGAACAAGACAAGGATGCCCTTTATCACCACTCCTATTTAACATTGTGCTGGCAGTTCTAGCTAGAGCAATAAGGCAAGAAAAAGAAATAAAGGGCATCCAAATTGGTAATGAAGAAGTTAAACTGTCCCTGTTAGCAGATGATATGATACTATACATAGAAAACCCTAAAGATTCCACAAGAAATCTACTGGAACTAATAGAAAGATTCAGCAGAATAGCAGGATACAAGATAAACATACAATAGCAGTTGGATTCCTATACACCACTAAAGAGAACGATGAAAAGGAAATCAGGAAAACAATACCATTTATAATAGCCCCTAAAAAAATAAAATACTTAGGAATAAATCTAACCAGGGATGTAAAAGACCTATACAAAGAAAACTACAAAACACTACTGCAAGAAACCCAAAGGGATTTACACAAATGGAAAAACACACCATGCTCATGGATAGGTAGACTCAACATCGTGAGAATGACAATTCTACCCAAAGCAATTTACAAATACGACACAATCCCAATCAAGTTGTACAACCATTCTTGCTATCCTTTTCCAAATCATTCAATTCCACCACTATTAACGTAAAGTCAGCGTTCCCTAAGCAACTGGGCAGTGATTTATAGGCTTTCAGAATGTAACTTCTGAATGGGTAAGAGGAATCCCACACTTATTAAAAAAAAAAAGTCTTCAGACACATAGCACTCGATTCAGTTGAATGCAAAGAACTTACCTTGTTGCCTGTTTAAGTAAAGAACACACAGAGAACAGACTTCCAGGTCTATCTGGAGGAAGGTTATTTATTGAGTAAGTTTTCTCTTTTCTCTGAAAATTAGTTTAAAATGAAAAATCTCATTAATAATTAATTTTGGCCATTACCATACTAGTTTTTTTTCTTAAAATATACACCTACGTAGTAACAAAGTAAGCAGTTACTTTTACTTAATCTAAAATCAACACGTTTTTAAGGGTATTTTATGATGTTTTTCCATTTTCCCTTTTTCCTACTTCAGTTTTTAAACTGCTGTCGTTAGGTGCTCTCGGACTCGTAGTGACCCTACATACAACAGAACAAAACACTGCCTGGTCCTGAGCCATCTTCATAATCATTGCTATGTTTGAGCCCATTGTTGTAGCCACTGTGTCAATCCACTTCATTGAGGGTCTTCCTCTTTTTCCCTAACCTTCTACTGTACCAAGCATGATGTCCTTCTCCAGGGACTGGTCCCTCCTGATAACATGTCCAAAGTACGTGAGATGAAGTCTTGCCATCCTTGCTTCTAAGGAGCATTCTGGCAGTACTTCTTCCAAGACAGATTTGTTCGTTCTTCTGGCAGCCCATGGTATATTCACTATTCTTCACCAACATCATAATTCAAAGGCATCAGTTCCTCCTCAGTCTTCCTTATTCATTGAATTTTTAAATTACACAATAATATATTAATATGTTTTTGTTGTAAAAAATAATTTTAAAATATCAAAAGTAATCCTCCCTAACTCCTTTCTCACAAAACCCCAGACCTCTTCTCAAAGGTAATCACTTTAGTTTGGTGTGTATTTGCCCAGATCCTTCCCTGTGTACATATGTAGTAACATATATATTTGGGGGTTGTTCTTTGTTCTTTACACAGAAGATATCACACTGAACATGTACTTATGCAGCTTGCTTTTTTCACTCTATCATATGCGTTGGAGATGTTTCAACATCTACTTCTCCATCCATCTACATTGTGTTTATTCTTTTTAACTGCTTCACAGCATTTCCATAATCTGATCACCATAGTTTATTCACCATTTCCCTACTGATGAATATATTTAGGTCCTTTCCAGTTTTTTGCTATTACAAACAATGCCACAATCAATATCCTTGCCATGCTTTACACATATGTGCAAATACTTTTCCAGGTCAGATACCTAAATGCAGAATTTCTGATGAATTTTACCTGATATTATCAAATTGTCCTCCATGAAGTCTGAGCCAAATTATACTATCAACACTATGAAAAATACCCCTTTTCCCACATCCTTGCCAACACTAGATATTACGTTTTTTTTTAGCTTTTTGTCAGTTTGAGTGAAAAACATTAAGCCATTGTTATTTTAATTTGCATTTCCCTGATGCAACTAGTAAAGTTGAATATATTTTCAAATATTTATGGGTTATTTATGCTGCTTTTTCTATGGCTTAACCATTAATATACTTTGCTCATTTTTCTTTTTTTGGAGGCAGGTGGTCTTTTTATTACTGATTTGAAGTATGGAATATTTTCTCTCAAATCTTACCTCTTTAACTTTATAGAAGTTTAAAATCTAACACAAGTTTTAAAATTTCAAACTCATCAAACTTTTCTGTTACGGCTTCTGGGTTTTTATATCATGCTTGTAAGATTATAAACACTATTCTGTATTTTCTCCTAATAATTATGAAGTTTTTCTTATATTTCGCTCTTTTATTCATACAGAATTTATTTTGGAGTATGGATTAAAGTAAGGAGCAAACTCTTTTATCTCCAAAAAATCAGCTAATTGTTTCTAAATCTTTTCAGCGGAGAATGAATGTATTGCAGACAGGGGCTGAGAGTAAAGCCCAAATGAATCCACTACAAATGCAAAGCTTGGAGTTTTACATTTTATGTCAAAAGCTCATACTTAAAAACAAACAAACAAAAAGTCCATGTTTCTACTCCGTATGTCTGTGTCAGTATAAAATTTACTACACCTACTCCTGACATCTTTGAGTAAAACTGAAGCTCCAGGAAGATGTGCTATATTACTCTGTGGATTTGTGAACCCCCTGACATAAAGCAGCGTGAACACGCACACCCACTCTATTTGCCTGCTTGTCTCATACTCTAGAAACACACACACACACACGTATTTATAAGATATATAAAATTACTGGTCATACTTTCATTTCATTTGCTTGTTTGCCTGACTGACCCCTTAACTGTGAACCCTTCAGGGAAGAGACCAAGTCTTTTTATCTTCCTCATCCCTAGTGCTTAATAGGGTACCGGCCAAAGAGTAAGTGTTCAATTACTATTTACTGAATAAATGAATATTTTCCTGCCAATAGACTCCAGTTAAGAATTTGCTCCAATATATTTATGAGTGAAATGATAGGATATTTACTTAAAAATAAATGGGGGGTAAAGGAGACAGTGGGAAGTATAAATGAATACATGGGTGTTCATTATACTAGTCTCTTTCTCCACTTTTGTATAAGTTTGAAATATCCCAGAAGGGGAAAAAAAAATCTGTTCCATTTTTAACTCTTCCGCCTATCAGCTCTGATAATTTTACCACTCAAACACTTCACTCTGTAATAGAGAAAACATATTTCTTATGTTCCATCCTGCAAAGCAAAGTAGTGGGACACTATGGTGACCCCTATAAAAGCACTGGCATCAAATGTCAGACTGGGAACAAAGCAGCTGAAGACTCATTAACAAAATATCTACGTAATTACATTATGGCCTGATAAACGCATCATGTTTCACTATTTTTAACAGAGAGAAATCTCAATCTCCTAACTGCATGTAAAGATTCAAGAGTTAAGAAATGTTTAATATATACAAACAATTACATGGTAAGGAAAAAGAGTGTGCTTTTTCATATGCAAATATTAAAAACATGTTAATTCAAAATAATACATTAATGCAAAGCAGTGCTGCTGGTCTCTGCATTTCCTATTGAGAAATTCTACAACTGAAGAAATTTAGCTTCTGTTTAAATTGAAATTGCTTAGGCAAATGGATGACAGTAGGGTAAGAATACAGAGAAAATAAGGTTGTTAATAATTACTATACTAATGCTGCAGTAAGATTTTGTTAGTTCTCCAGACTAAGGGATTGCAAACAATGTTTATATATAAAGACCAAATTTCCTCATATATATTCAGGATGATTTAGAAACAGCTATATATCAAAAATCTTCTTGAGTTGAGACCTCCTTGTAGGCTTACCTCTTCTGATCCTTCTTGGATGGGATAATATGTAAAATATTTCCCAAAATAAGTTCCTTTTGATTTGAAAACAGATCCATCTCCAGGATAAATCTCTATTGAGTTCACATTTTTATGGGTAAGTCTAAGGAAGAAAAATAATCATTAAAAAAAAAAATTTCTTTTCTATTTGAGATTAAAATATACATGAAGGCAGTCATTTAAAAAAAAGGAAAGAAATATGGTCTTTGGCTTATCCAGAGAAGGAGATAATCTCATACTCTGCACCACAATCAGCTAAGTTAAATTTCTGTCAAAAGATAAACAGAATACACAGACTTGGTTTACATATATATTTCGGCAACTAAGCTCTAAGCATTTGGAAATCAAGCATCTTATCTTATCATCCTGGTATCCCCACTGCCAATCACAGGGCTGGCACATAATAGTTACCAAAGCAGTTTCTATTGTACAGAGGTTAAATAATAACATTATTCTTTGAGAATGAAACTTGTAGAATACCTGATGGAACAGATTTGTCATCTGTAGAAGGAGCCATCCCCTAAAAGAAGGTGACTGATTACACCTGGAACAATCAGATATAATCAAGGTATTGGGTATATAGAGTATATTAAAAAAGTTAAGCCAAACCAATTGTATTGAAAAATGTATGAAGAATATGTTGTCAGAAGGGAGTGGGTCTTCATGCAGGAAAGAGAGTTGAAAGAACAAAAAAGTTAAATGTGCTTTTCTAGCATAATTCACATAGGTGAAACTCGGACTCTTGCCAACACTGGACAGGTATATTTTGTTGTGGGGTAGGGATAATTCAACAGAGTAGTGCCTGGCACATAGCAGCCACTCCGTGAATATTTGCTGCATGAGTGAAGAATGAAATCTCCCTTAAGGCTCCCTAACTTCTTCTCTAATTCCATGCTTACTAGGTAACTGTCTGATGACTAATTCAGACAAGTAGATCCCATGATGCTTGGAAAGGGTATCTGAAAGAGATGATATGAATATTTCATTTACCAGCAAAGCTGATCCTTCACTGGCTTTCTAGTTTTCACACAAGTCTTGTGAACATAGTTAAATGTGAGTTAGTCACAAAGACCCCTGTGTGCACTGATAAAGTTTTGAGACCTGTAAAACTCAGGACTAAACACAGGAGCAGAGTGGCCCCAACAAAACTGTCCTCTTTTGAGAATCTGTCTGCAAGGCTAGCCTTGTCCCCTGTGTGACCCCACTAAATAGCTCTGACTCCAACACAGGTGTCCTTACCTATATGTAACACCCTTGTACCAAACCACTTTCACTAGTTCAGGATAGGAATATTCTTCATCAAACTGTCTCTGTAAAGATGAATCACAGAAATACCACCTGTGAAGGATAAAATACAAGCTATTAATTCTGGTTGTTCAATATAATTACCTTTAAAAGTCAACAAAAGAGTGCTACTGTAACAAGATTTATTTCTTGCTTAATTAGTTTGATTTAAAAAAAAGTAAAAACTAATTCCAAAGGGTAGTAATGAAATTTTAAAATGTTTTATTTTTCCATGTATTTTTCTGTATTTCTAATCATCTTATTATTTATAAATTAACAGTTTTACTAGCCATTAAAATACAGCCTGGACTCAAACAATAAATATTTACTGCTATATCTATGGTGGATGAGATACTGTGCTATACACACTGGGGATATAATACTCAAAAAAGCAGACATGGTCCCTGCCCTCAATAGAGATTCCTATCTGGCAGAGATATAAAATATTAAATAACAAGTTAAGAAAGGAGGAGTACTGGATGCTACTGGATTGTGTAAAGACCTAACTCTGTCTAGCAACTTTGGAAAACAACCCTAAGGAAGTGAAACTTATGCTAAGACCTGAAAATGAACACAAGCCAGCAGTTACAGAGATAAAGTGAGAGTGTTCCTGGCAGAGGAAACAGCATGTGCAATGATGAAAGAGCTGGAGCATTCAAGGAATTGGAAGAAGTCCAGTTTAGCAAGAATCGAGTAAGTACGACAAGAGTGGTGAGAGAGTTGAGGGCTACACATATTAGAAGGGACCAGATCATGGAAACCTGTTAAGGATAATGGATTTCAACCTAAGGCCAATGATAACTTACTGAAAAATCATTAATCTAGAATCATAATTTCAAATTTTAACTAAATCAGCACCAAAAGCCTAAAAATCATTCCCATATTTTGGTTTAAGCAACAAATATGTACCCAGAGACTACCTGGGATCAAATTCTAGTTCCTACACATACTAGTTGTACGATCTTGGTCAAGTTATTTAACACATATGTCTCAAATTTCTTAACGATAAAACGGGATAACAGTACTTACCTCATGGGATTAATACGAGGATGAAATAGGTAAAGGACTCAGAACAGTGCCTCACACATAATAAGGGCTTTGTAAGTATTAGCTATTATTATTACTGTATTACTTATAAAAAATGACTGCTACAAATCTACATCTACACCCTCTCTTCACTTATCGACATGGTTAGGTTCCAAAGACCAGGTTGTTACGTGAAATTGGCGTTATGCAAAAATGGAGGTTTACCACATCAGATCACAAAATGGAGGATGACATCATTTCATAACTGTCAAATTATATCATAACTGCCAAACCACTGAGAATCATGGCCCAGAGAAGTTGACACATAACCTTAACCATCACAGCCAGTGTTACCCTCGCCTCACACCTCAGCATTCGTTACTGCCAGGTGTATGTCATTAATATACAAAATAGAGAGTAGATTCTTTTACTGTTGTTGTAAATACAAAATGTCGGATAACGAGATAGTCAATAAGTGAGAAGAAGGTGTATTAGGTTATTCATCTCTTACCCATTACCATCGAGTCAATTCCGACTCATAGCAACCCTTAGTGGTAGTAAAAGGTTTAAATCTAGCCATTCAGAAGCCTCTCCATGTTTAACCAATGACAAGGGCAGCCTCTAGGCTAAGTCTGGAAGAACCTGTGATCATAAACTTGAAGGATCCATGCTCTACCAAGCAAGGTAACATGCTCCAGTGAGCTGGAGCAGGCGCTCCTCTGTACTCACTCCCACAGAACCCTGTGCGGATCCCTGAACCATCACTTACCACACTTTAATAATCTTTTCAGGGGCAGTGACTTCACTAGATTCCATGCTCCTAGAAAGCAGGGACTATGTCTTAGTCATCTCTATAGTCTCTGTGCCTCACAAAGTATCTAGTGTATAGTCAGCCTTCTGTAAACACTCAAGGCATGAACACAGAATAAGAAACACAACCAACATGTTTGCTAGGGAAATTATTTTCTATTAGTTATAAGCAAAGTTTTTGATCAACTGAATGAACTTTCCTTATGAATGACATCAGATGATTTAGAAAGAAAAATTCTTCTTAGGTAAAGACTAGCTCTGACAAAAGCTTTATGAAAAATAAATCATTCATGGAAACAACCTAGGCGCCCATCAACAGATGAATGGATAAACAAACTATGGTACATACATACAATAGAAAACTACACAATGATAAAGAACAATGATGAATCTGCAAAGCATCTCACAACATGGATGAATCTGGAGGGCACTATGCTGAGTGAAATAAGTCAATCTAAAAAGGACAAATATTGTATGAGACCACTACTATAAAAACTCATGAAAAGGTTTACAGACAAAAAGAATCTTTGATGGCATGAGGAAGGGGAGAGGTGGGAGGGAAAAACACTAAATAGACAATATATTAGTGGTAACTTTGGTGAAGGGTGAGACAGTACAAAATACCGGGGAAGCCAACACAACTTGTCCAAGGAAAGGTCACAGAAGCTCCATAGACATATCTAATGTCCCTGAGGGAACAAATTACTGACTGGGCTGAGGGCTGGGGGGACCACAGTCTCGGGAACATCTAGCTCAATAGGCATAACAGTTTAAAAAGAAAAAATGTTCTCCATTCTACTGTGGTGAGTAGCGTCTGGGGTCTTAAAAGCTTTTGAGTGGCCATCTAAGATACTCCACTGGTGTCTCCATCTGGAGCAAGGGAGAATGAAGAAAACCAAAGACACAAGGAAAAGAGTAGTCCAAAGGACTAACGGACCACAACTATCAGAGCCTCCACCAGACTCAGTGCAGCACAACTAGATGGTGCCCGGCTACCACCACCGACTTCTCTGACAGGGATCACAATAGAGGGTCTTGGACAGAGCTGGAGAAGAATGTAGAACAAAATTCTAACTCACAAAAAAAAAAAAAAGACCACACTTACTGGTCTGACAGAGACTGGAGAAACCCTGAGAGTATGGACCCCAGGCACCCTTATAGCTCAGTGACGAAGTCACTCCTGAGGTTCAACCTTTAGCCAAAGATTAGACAGGCCCATAAAACAAAACGAGACTAAATGGACACACCAGCCCAGGGGCAAAGACAAGAAAGCAGGAGTGGACAGGAAAACTGGTAATGGGGAACCCAAGTTCAGAAGGGGAGAGTGTTGACATGTCATGAGGCTGGCAACTAATGTCACAAAATATGTGCATTAATTGTTTAATGAGAAACTAGTTAGCTCTGTAAACCTTCATCTAAAGTACAATAAAAAAAAGAAAAATAAATCATTCTTCCATTACCTGTGCAGGTGTGGGACAGGACAGCTGAGTAACAAGGCCTTGGGAAGAACAGAAATCTCTTCTCTTTCTTCTGAAACATCAGGAGTTAAAACTCTATTCTGGGTGGTATCTGCATCAATTTTAGACATTTCACTGATTTTATTATGAAAATTAATTGCTAAAGACAAAGGGTATTTCCATTCCTCTGGACAGGAGGCCACAGACCAGTGCTGATTTACCCATGTGTATACACAAGTGTGTTTTGTACCAAGTACGGGCAGCTTCTCTCTCCCTTCAGTTCCATTTACACAACTCTTCTTCTCCGAAGGTTCTTCAGATTTCATGCTATGGCAATAAAGTTCATTTTCTTTATTCTTTAGTTTCTGTCCTGATAAACTTCCAAAAGTACAGTTTTTGTCTGCTTTTTCAAATAGTTTGCCCCTTTTGGCTTGATTATTTTTTTCTGACAACACTACAGATGAGTCTGGCTTCTGGCTAACTTTACACAAAAAATGTACTGTAAACTCATGCTGAGCTTCGGGCAGGCAAAGGTACGCGTGACCATCTAAAGATGAGATCTTCACGGTGCCACTCTCCATACGTATCATGGCATCATCAGTATCGAGAATGGGCCATCTCACTTCTGAGATTTCAACGAAGATTCGCTGAATTGAGGGGGAAAAAGATGGTGAGCATTGTCTGTAAACAGTCCAATTTTTCCACACATTTGATATTGAAGTATCGTGCAAGAAAGCTCTTAAAATTCTGTTTGAATTCTACCACCAACACAGCACGAAAAACGAACCAGGTGTCAGTCTATACGTAGTCTTTCTACAGAATATTTGACATTGTTACAATTATTTCTCTTAGAAAAAGAGAAGTAAAACACACACACACACGCACTGATTAAAAAAAATAGGAGAAAAGAAGGAAACGAAAAAAACATACTGATTATACTTAGTATTAGATTAAGTATATTTTGGTTTAAAATGTACAATATGTACAATAAATCAGTGATCAGTGAGATTTTGTGGCCTTCTCCCCAAAAGTCTACTCTGGAAAAAAAAAAAAAAAAATGAGGGAGGACCAGCACTACAGTGTACTATATTCAAAGCAAATATAACTTAAGTGGTATGGAGCTACACATAAAAATCATTGATAAAACATCTCAGAGAACACAGAAAAAGACTCAATCACATCTTTAAATGTCACCTGTGATAAAGTAAGCTTTGCAAAGCAAGGAGGATAGGAAGAATTATTTAATAAATGGTACTGTAATTGCTGAATAACATTTGGGAAATGCTATCTCAGAGGATTATCATATGGATTAAATAGGATAACATGTATAAAGTACCTCGTAGATAGTACCTGGCACACCATATACCAAAATAAATTCCAGATGGCTTAAAGAGTAACATTTTAAAAAATTAAATTACTCAGAGTTAAACTGATCCTGACCAACAGCAAACAGACTCATAACAGGTACTGCCTATGTCTTCTGCGTTTTTTCATATAAGATAAAAATAGTAGGTGTTCTTGAACTGCAACTAACCCCTGAAATCATCTTTTAGCAAAATAGCAGAGGGGCACACAAAATAAAGGATATTACCTGTAAGAACAGTGCTCTACTAAAAAACCATCTGTATGAGACCAAAAGGTCAACATTTATTCTAAAGCGAGTTGAGAAGATAAGGGGGCAGGGAAACTAGAGTACTGGAAATGGTATAAACTGAACACAATTAAAGAGAACATTGACACATTGTGAAAAACGTAACTAAGGTCACTGAACAATTTGTGTGGAATTTGTCAAATGGGAACCTAACTTGGTGTGCAAACTTTCACCCAAAACACAATAACATATTAAGAAAAAAAAAGTAGGTGTTGCATAACAATCAATTAATTTTGCCCAGCTGTTACACATTTCAACTCCAATTACAGAAAACATTAAATTTACTTTAAAAAAACTAATGTCAAGAAACTTCAAATTTGCACTGCTATCTATGTGTATAATTTGAGTCATTCTATTTGTTTGAATCTATGGGTTATGCCCTATGGATACACTTGTTAGGGTAATAAAATTAAGGGTAGTATTCATTAACAGCAAAGCTGGTTTATAAGGATGGTCAATTAAGAAAGTTCTCTCTTTTGGGGAATTAGGCTATCTAATATAACTGCAGCATCAGAGGCAAGCTATGCAGTTTTAATGAATAAAGTTACTCAAAAGAAACAATCGAAAAATAGGTTCTAGAGTAAGGCACAGCTTAAAATTTTTGATGGCTCCTTTGCTACTAGAAATATTAACAAAAAATTCCTCAATAGGCATCACAACAGCAAAAAAAGGTAGCAGAAAGTGGTTGAAAGACAGTCTTCGGAGTCAGACAGACTGGGTTCAAATCTTTTGTCACTTAGAAAACTGTCCATGGACAAATTACATTAAACTCTCTAAGACTTAGTTTCCACACCTGTAAAATGAGGCTGATATTTAGCCAATGTACCTGTTCTGGTAGGGTATCCATTTTGATCAGCAGATACCAGGTCATATGGGTGTTATTAAATATGTTTAATATTATTCCTGGTTCTTGGTACATGATAAACCCTCAATAAATGGCAGCTATTATTATTACCCCTAATAGTTCAAAATAAAATGTAAGCAAAATAAAATTTTTATACTATAAGTAATTACACAACTACTATACACTAAAAAATAACTACACATAAGCTACTGAAGACAGTCTCATAATTTCTTAATTTTGAGACCTCTGAAAATGAAAAAGTCACCAATCTGAAAAATTCTGAATATAATCCTTGGCTACTGTGATGGTTAAGATTGTGTGTCAGCTTGGCTGGGCCATGATTCTCAGTGTTTATATGTAATCACTCCCATGATGGGATCTGCTGTGAGTAGTCAATCAGTTGAAATGGAGTTTTTCCTTGGGCGTGTGGCCTGCATCCGATAAGCAGATGTTCTGGCTTTTTGCTGCTCTGGATCCTGTGGCTGCCTCCTGTTTATCTGACCTCTGGTTCTCGGGACTTGAGATATCAGGTGATCTTGGGATTTGCTGATCTTCACAGCCTGTGAGCAGAAGCCCTGCCCTCCGACCTGCCAATCTTGGGTTCACCAGCCCCTGCAGCTATGTGAATCAGAAGAAGCCTTGCAGTCTTGCCTGCCAACCTTGGGATTCGTCAATCTTCATAGCCTGTGAACAAGAGCCCTGCTCTCCGACCTGCCAATCTTGGGTTCGCCAGCCCCTACTGCTATGTGAACTGGGAGAAGCCTCTATCCTGATCCACAGACTTGGGACGTTCCAGCCTCTACAATCTTATGAGCTGTTTCCTTGATATAAATCTCTCTATATACATATTTATATGCTTTACTGGTTTTGCTTCTCTAGAGAACCCAGACTAAGATAGCTACAAAGAAAGGTAAAGAGATGAACTATGTAACTTCTGTGTTCTCAATCAATATACAAAATATCAAAACACTGTTGCCTGGTGAAATATATACAGGCCTATGCATTCTACAGCAAAGTTTCTATTCCCAAGGGTCATGAAGAAACATTGAGGCACCTGTTTCTAATTACTTATCTTCAAATATTATGAAAATGAGGCTTACAGAAAACTTACCTTTTTTCTTTCAGAAGCTATGATACTTTCAGAAAGAAAAGGGAAAGTGGCAGAAGAATTTCGAAAATCTAGGGCTCGTTGTAGTTGCTCCTACAAAAAGAAATGTAAACTGTAACTTTATGAAATGTAAGATGATTTGAAAATCAATCTTAAATTATCGTAATCCAGAATACTAATTACTTTTTATATTCTGGCCCACGTCAACAGTATTTTAATATTAAAGAGAGAAGTTTTTGTGTCATCTTTACTTACTCGGTAAGTGCTAATAACAAACTGCGTCCTTTGACGAATTCTTTCTGGTTGCTCTAAAGGATGTGCTGAAACAGGAGGTGCCTTTTCAAATAAAAATTCAGAACCACAGGGAGAAAGCTGCAATTTGGAACCATCAACATATTGTACTTGCACGGAGTCATCTTCATAAAGTACCATTCGAACTTCGGCCACCATTACTATGACTACAGATAAGATGTCTTTCCAAGACAAAGACTAAATGAGCTAGGAAAACAAGAGCACAAACAATCCTCTTAATGTACAAAAGTTCTACCAAAATAAGAGCATAGCCAAAACACACTGGCACTGCACTTCTGTTGGACGAAAAGTGATATCTTATTATACTTAAAGGATCGGAACTTAATATCCTTAACAGAATGCCTTAATTAGCCCCTAGGGCTTTACTCCAATGAGAGAAGATAATCTACGGGGAGAAGCTAACCCACCAAGTTTTAACAGCCTTTATAATTTTAGTAGCTTACTTCTCCTGAAGTTCAATTTCTGTAAATTATATGCTGTATCTCATTTCAAATATCAAGCAAATTCCATCCTTGCAATAAGAATGCTGCATATCATTTATAAAAATTACTTGCTCTTTTCTGACAGTGTAATATCTTCTGAAAGTAAAAGGTAAGTTTTTGTGAGTCTCAATTTTCATAAGTTATATCTAAAGATACGTAATTAGAAACTAGTGCTTCAGTGTTTAGTCTTTTTCTTCATGACATTTGGGAATAGAAACTTTGCTGTAGAATGCAATAGCCGAAAGAACCCGTTCAGCCTAAGGGAAAAGGAACACTGAAAAAGAAATCCAAATATCTGGATTCTAGCCCCGTCTGGCATTAAGGAAGTAGTTCCACGTCACCACTGAGCAAGTTAAAATCTCCAAGTGTCGTAGATTCCTCATTTCACTTCTCAAATGACTGTATCCCCACCCACGCTCTCCACAAAGGTGGGACAGAAGGGGAATTAGAGATTCAGGTTTCATCCACACTTCACCATTTACTAGCTATGTCTTAGGCAGGTTTTACAGCTTCTTTCCTCCCTCATTTGTAAAATGGGGATAGTACTAGGATTGTTCAGAGGATTAAATGAGACAACACATATGACAGTGTCTAGCCTAGCACTGTGAATATTGCACAATAAATTCTATGAGATGTTTCTATCCCTTTCTAAAACTAATCCCACGCCCTTCTAGGATATTACTCCCTTTCCACTATTAATGTGACCAAGTCTCACCTGTCAGAAAAAAATAACTTTCCATAGATACCACTTTCCCCAGTTCATCCCTATTTCCTCCCCAAAATTTTCTCAAGTGTAGCACCTGCTCATTGCCTACCTTCTCACCCTTCAATCCTCAATCTACTGCAATCTGGCTTCCTCCCCCACCTCTCTAACTGAAGTTGTCTCACACTGGTCACCCAAGTCTTTCTAAACTTCAGTCTTTATCCTACGAAACCTGGTGTGACAGTGTTGTATACCCTCTCCTTATCAAACCTTCTGTCTGCCTTTTTTTTTTTAAACATTGTTACCATGGTTTTTCTCCCTACATCTGTTTTTATTTTAATCATTCCTCTTCTTCATCACTCTCTTAAATCAAAGATTCTGCAAGACCTGACCTTAGTCCTCATTTCGTCTCTTCTTACTTACTATGTTCTTCTCTATTGCAACATTTACACCTACACCCTACCCTTGTTTTTTCCTATCCTACCCTTTCAATGTATGTAATCTAGCTACATTTGATACCCACCACCACCTGGCAGTTTATCACATTGTGGTGGCTTGCATGTTGGTATGATGCTGGAAGTATATGTCTTACTTATCTAGCGCTGCTATAACAGAAATACCACAAGTGGATGGCTTTAACAAACAGAAGTTCATTCTCTCACAGTCTAAGAGGTAGAAGTCTGAATTCAGGGCGCCAGCTCCAGGCGAAGGCTTTCTCTCTCCGTCAGCTCTGAAGGAAGGTCCTTGTCATCAATCTTCCCTTGGTCTAGGAGCTTCTCCGCGCAGAGACTCTGGGGTCCAAAAGACTCACTCTGCTTCTGGCACTACTTAATTTGGTACTGAGAACGGGGTGCTGCTCTAACAGATACCTAAAATGGGGAAGCAGTTCTGAAACTGTGAATGGATAAAGGCTGGAAGAGTTTTAAAGTGCCTAACAGTAAAAGCCTAGATTGCCTTGAAGGGATTGTTGGTGGAATTATGGATGTCAAAGACAATTTCGGTGTGAGGACTCAGAAAGAAGTGAAGAGAGCTGTTATACTGGAGATGGCTCAGATGGTGGGAAGTAGCAGCAGGAGAACCAAGAGACCACAGCAAGACAGCACTGGAGCCAACCCACGGAGTGAGACAGCTGAGTACCTTTGGCAGGAGGCTTCCTGGCAGAGTGGGGTGTCTCTGAGTACTTATTGGTGGAACTAGGCTTGCTGACCCACGGAGCAAGAGAGCTGAGTGCCTTTCAGCTGAAGTTTAGTGGCGGAGTGGGGTGCCTCCAGGCATTTATCGGTAGAGCTCTTTAGAGCTTTGGAACACTTGCCCCAGCAGGGCAGACGTGGGCAGTAAGGCTCGAGGGGCTGAGAGGCCAAGCAACCAGGAAGCAGAAGCTGAAGAGATAAGGAACACAGGAAGCACAGTTCCCTCAGTCTCAAACAGTAGGGCCACAACCTCAGGAGTCTCAAAGGGTGGAGCCGTGGCCTCTGGGGCTTCAAAGAGTGGGGCCACAGCCTCCTAGGTTTCAAAGAGTTAGATCTTCAACAACTTGGTTCTGGAGTGTGAGGCTGCCATTCATAAGTGCCAGCAGGATGGGGCCAGATCCGCTGCCCAAAGCCGAGGGGGCAGGGCTGCCATGCTCAAGGGGCAGAAGAATGGGGTCTGCTGGGGCCAAAGGGGGAGGGTCAACACTCAGATGGACTAAGAAATGGGGCTGCCCAAAGCTGAGGGAGCAGAGTTACCATTGCAGTGGGCCTGGAAGGTGCAGCTGAAGCCCAGGGCCAAGGGGCCAAAGCCCAGAATTGGGGGAGTGTGGCCAACACCCAGAGTCTGGAGGGTAGGGCCATTTTGCCTAAATGGTCTCAGAGAATAGAGGGCTATTTTCAAGCCTTGAGAGCTAATGTAATACGTTCTGCTGTCTTGCTTGGTGCCTGTTATCCCATCCTTCCCTCCAATTTCTCCCATTTATAATGGAAATGTCTAGCTTGTGCCAGTTCCATCATAGCACTTTGGAAGCAGATAACTTGTATTCTAGATATTTCACAGATGAAGAGAATTTTTGGATTTTGAACTTGGAGTTGATTTAAGACTTTTGCTATGATGTGATGGGGTGAATGTGTTTTACATGTGGTAAGGACATGAATTTCTGGGGGCCAAAGGATGGAACGGATTGAATTGTGTCCTCCAAAAATATGTGTCGCCTTGGCTAGGCCGTAATTCCCAGTATTGTGTGATTGTCCACCATTTTCCCATCTGATGTGATTTTCCTATGGGTTGTAAATCCTACTTCTATGATGTTAATGAGGCAGGATTAGAGCAGTTATGTTAATGAGACACCACTCAATCTACAAGATTAGGTTGTGTCTTAAATTGATCTCTTAATTAAGATACAAAAGAGAGAAGGGAGCAGAGAGACATTGGGACCTCATACCATCAAGAAAGCAGTGCTGGGAGCAGAGCACGTTCACTGGACCCGGGGTTCCTGCACAGAGAAGCTCCTAGACTAGAGGAAGATTGGTGACAACGACCTTACCCCAGAGCTGACAGAGAAAGCCTTCCCCTGGAACTGGCACCCTGAATTCAGACTTCTAGCCTCCTGGATTGTGAGAATAAATTTCTGTTTGTTAAAGCCATCCGCTTGTGGTATTTCTATTATAGTAGCACTAGATGACTAAGACACTATGGCACCAGTATTTCAAATACCAGCAAGGTCAACCATAGTGGACAAATTTCAATGGAGCTTCCAGACCAACAGAGACTCTTAAGAAAGGTCTGGCAATCTACTTCTAAAAATTAGCCAATGAAAACCTTATGGATCACAAAAGAACACTATCCGATTCACTTGCTTTGGACATGCCACCAGGAGGGATCAATTGCTAGAGGATGACATAGTGTTTGGTAAAGTAGAGGGCCAGTGAGGGTATAGGAGACCCTCAGTGAGATGGAGTGGCACAACGGATGCAGTCATGGACTTGAACATGTTGGTGATTGTGAGGATGATGCCAGAATGGGCAGCATTTTGTTCTACTGTACATAAGGTTGGAGTCGACTCAAGGGCAGGTAACAACAACATTTAGTATAGCCTATAGTCTTTTGTAGAATACAAGTAAATATGAAACCATACGGTCTGTCTTGAGATTTCATCTATACTCACAAATTTAATTGGGGGGTCCTGGTGGCACAGTGGTTAAGCGTTTGCCTGCTAACCAAAAGGTCAGCAGTTCAAATCTAGCAGTTGCTCCCTGGAAACTCTGTGGGACAGTTCTCGTCTGTCCTATAGGGTCGCAATGAGTTGGAATATGCTCAATGGTAACAGGTTTATAACTTTAATTATTTTCTTTCTCTAGAGAACTTCCAAATCTACCTGACCTCTCTCCAAAGCTTCCAGCTGTCTATTATACCTCTCTCCATGTGCCTGTCCCAGATACAGCAACTCAACATGACTAAAATGGAACTTAATCACTCCCATCAAAAGAGAATGTCTTTAAAAAAAAAAAAAAAAGAATTAAGATGGAAAAAAAAAGGGAACTTCTATAATACCTCCTAAATACTCTTTAACTCTTACCTCCTTCAAGTCCAGTCCCCATTCAGTAGCCAGAGGGATCTTTTAAAATAAAAATCTGATCACCCCTGGGCTTAAAACCCACCAATAGCATCCATTTGAACTTAGAAAAAGCCCAGATGCTTAACCATGGCCTACAAAGCCCACACATTCTGGCCCCACCTACCTCCCCAAATGTCATCTCCTAATTCTTTCCCCTTGGTTCAGGACAGTTCGGTCATATTGGCCTTTTTACTGGTTTTTAAACAAGTTCTTTTGCATCTCAGGATTTTTATGCTGTTGTGCCTAGCATGTCCTTACCCAGGCTAATCACATAGGTAGCTCTTTGTCGTCATTAATGTCTCAGTACAAATGTCATTTCCTCAAAGGCCTGACCTAACTTGGTTAATATTGTGTTCAATCCAGTCACTTTTTATCCCATTCTTTCTTTTTTCTTCGTAACATTCATCACTATCCAAACTGATTCTGTTTATTTACTTGCTTTTTTCTTCTCCCACTAGGATATAAATTCTACCAGAGTAGGAACCTTATCTGTCTTATTCAGTTATATCCCTGGCATCTAAAACAGCATTTGGTAAATAATTAAAAAAACCATCACCACTTGCCATGTAGCCTGACTCCGACTCATGGCAACCCCATGTGTCCGAGTAGAAATGTGTTCCATAGAGTTTTCAATGGCTGACTTTTTCCAAGTAGATCGCCAGGCCTTTCTTCCCAGGTGTCTCTGGGTGAACTCGAACCACTAACTCTTCAATTAGCAGCAAGTGCATTAACTGTTTGCACCACCCAGGGACTCCTTGGTAAATAATAAGGGCACAATAAATATTCACTGAATGACGAAAGAATACGTGAATTTTAAAATCCCCGCACCTCCTGAATTTGCGATTTGAGTTAATGGCACCTCAATGTTAGTAGCCAATGTTAGCAATATTTGATTGCTCTCTTTGCCTCTCTTCACATCCCCGTAACCTCCTTCAAGCCCCTGTTTAACAAATCCTGTTGATTTTACCTCTGGAAGTCTTTCTCTTGAACCTGGCTCTTTTCCCCTTTCAGGCCATCGACTCTCCCCTCATCTCCTGCAACGGTCTAGAACCTTTTCCAATTTCTTCCCTCTCCAAGCCATGTCTAGTACCGCTGTCACAGCTAACTTTCCAAAACCCAGACAACATCTACTGCTTTACATCACAGCATACAACGTATCTCAAGTTCCTAGCATATCACAAGAAATCATAATAGGGCTCCAACCTATATTTCCAACTTCATCCCTACTGATTTCTTCCTATTTGCATTCTCATCACTCAGCACATTATGTCAGAGTGTGTTTAACGATCGAAAAGCCTCAAGTTCTCGATTACAATGGGAAGCCCATTTTTCAAAATGCGTTAGTTACAGAAAAAGCCTCATGAAATCAACGACAAAACTCCTTGGACTCACAGCAATTCTGAGCTGAAAAGTTGTGAAAATGAGGCCAATCAACGGCACCTGTGTTCAATTTGCCAAAACGCTGGAGGCCGTAGCTTCTGTGCCCGCCCACGACTGCTTCTCAAGTGATGTTTCTCGATGAATCTGACAAATTACCAACAACGAGAAAACAATCACAACCGTAGAGAAGGCCACAGGAAGGGTGCTGTGGCCGAGACGTCTGCCAAGACTCGACGGCTGGAAAGCAGAGGCAGCGCCAGCTCTAACCCGACAGAGTAAACACAGACCGCGAAGAAGCCGTTCAAGTCTTCCCGCCCTCTCGGGAAGCGGCTTTACCTCGCCGGAAGAAGGAGATCGGAAGTCCCGCCCCGCCCTCGCCTTCCGCCCCGGCCCGAGGCCACGCCCCGTCGCACTCTCTGGGATGGGCGGGCCGGAAGCAAGGGACTGGAGGGGACCGGAAAGGAGAAGAGGGGGAGGGTCTCGGGCCAGCCTTTAGAGAGAAGGCTGTGCGTTCCGAGTTAGGGGGTTCGTCTGTTCCTCCTCGGTCCTTACTTCCGGTATCTCACTGGAAGGGGTTCTCTCTGGTTGTGGTAAAGCTGTTTGGGACCAGCTTCCCGATGCTCTAGCTTTCTGGCCAAGAACTAAACACAAAGGTGGTAAAATTTTAGTGGAGCGATGTTTGATTGTTTGAAAAATCTAAACAATTATACACCAATAAGGTTGTTAAAAAAAAAAAAAAAAAACCTTGGCCATAGATAGAGACCTCTTCTTGTCCCTATTTGGTATCAGAAAATATGTCTTTAACTATGTATTTACATCTTTTCTTTTTTTTAAATAGCAAGTAAGACATGTCTGCTGTATTTATTGCCATTTACAAGTATTTGTGAAGAGCCTATTATGTGCTAGGCATACTGTGCATAAAGCAGAGAACAGGCTCAGTTCCTTGGGGGCTGGAGACTAATTGCAAAGAAACGAGTAAACATTTGATCATGGTAATCGTCTCTTAAGATAAAATACAAAGGGGCTGTGAGAGCACATAGAAGGCAGACCTAACCCAGCTGTTGAAATCCAAAGGATAAGCCGGGTAAAATAGAGGAAAAAATGTTTCAAGCAGAGGAAACAGTCCTGAGGCCCAAGAGAAAGATCTTGCCCCAGAATAGGTTTGAAAGAAAGTGAATGTGGTTTAAGCATGATTAGGGAGGTGAGCGAGGCCTGAAATGGGGCTATGGAGGTAGGCAGGCGCCGGGTCATGATCGATTTATGAATTATGGGCTTTATCTTAAGAGCAAAGGGCAACTATTACAAGAGCTTTAACCAAAGGTGGCAGCACCAAGTGATGGGGAGAAATCTAACTCTTTAAAGTCACCTTTATTAAAAAAAAAAAATCTCTGATATATGAATTGATCTCAATTTTATGTATAAATGAAGGCATTCTCGACAACCTTTTTTTTTTGTACTTTAGGTGGTTTACAGAGCAAATTAGTTTCTCATTAAATAATACACATTGTTTTGTGACATTGGTTGCCAATCCCACATGTCAACACTCTCCCCTTTGTGACCTTGGGTTCCCCATTACCAGCTTTCCTGTGCCCTCCTGTCTTCTTGTTCTTGCCCCTGAGCTGATGTGCCCATTTACTCTTATTTTGGCAACTATGTTTTCATTGATCTGTAACATCAGTCTGTATTTATACAGTCCTTAGATGCTGTCCCACCTTCACTTCTATGTCTAAGAACCTCCTGTATAGAAAGAAATTCTGTCTACTGTATGGGGGTGTTGTGATACTATTTGTACTTCAGAAAGATTCCTGGAGCTGTTGAATGGTGAATAGATTGTAGGGTGCAAGAGCAGATAGGGGGAACCCCAGTAGAAAGCGCTTGCAAAAGCAACAGGACAGGTGATGGCAGCTCAGGCTAGGGACTGCAGTGAGGATGGAGAGCATAGCTCCAAGTCTATAGTCCTGGTGATGATTGTACACTGGGGTTAAGAGACGTAGGAGTCAAAAACAATTCCAGGGTTTCTGGTTTGGGCAAGTGGATAGGTGGCAGCACCATCAATAAGCAGGGGATGGAAGAGCAAATTTAGGGATAACATACTTAAATTTAGTGAGTCCACCAGGTGGAAATGACAAGTTAGCAAAGGTCTGGAATCAAGACAGAAACAAAGCTGGAGGTCAGTGGCTGATAGCTGCTAACTGAAGCTATGGGAGATAAGGAAATAGTCTAAGGATATTGTGATTGAGAAAAGAAGAATGCACAGCACTGAGCTTTAACGAACACCAATACTTAATAGATTAGGTAAAGGAAAAGCCAGCAAAAGTGTCCAGGAGAAAAGTATAAAGGTAGAAATCAAGCTATTGTGTCCTAGATACCTAGAGGTTTTCAGTTTTGGTGTCACTTGACAGTGTCAGATATTGCCCAAAGGACAAACTGAAGAATGAAAAGTGTCTAAAGGAATTGGTGACTTGGAGGTCATTGGTGACTCATGAGGGCCATTGGATATATAAGGGGGCAGAAGTCATAGTGGATATGAAGGGCATATAGGAGGTGAAGAAATGGAAAAAAATGAATCAACACTTGAATAGAGTAGCTAGGAAGCAGAGATAGGACTGTAGTTTTAACAAAATGTGAAGGCCAGATTTCTTTTGATGAGAGGAATGGCATGTTCAGTAGCTGGTGCACAGAGCCAAATGGGAGGAAAAAAATGCAGACTGCCGCCTCTTTCTCCTGTGGACCTTTTCTCAAACTGTGGACATTTTGGTTAGCAGCCAAGGTTTAACCACTGTGCCACCAGGGCTCTGGTAGAGGGTCAGTGAAAAAGAGGAAGACCCTCAACAAGATGGATTTACACAGTGGCTGCAGTAATGGGTTCAAACATAGCAACGATTGTGAGGATGGTGCAGGATCAGGCAGTGTTTCATTCTGTTGTACACAGGGTCGCTGTGTGCGACGGCATCTAACAACAACAGCAATAGGAGGGTGAATACTCCTGTTGTAGAAGAGGAGGAATGATGTGAATAGACACATTGGTGTACATTTGTCTTGTGGCTTTTTTTTTTTCCTGTGAAGCATCAGTTAGGGGATGAAGGGGAAGTTGACTAGAGAGGGTTCGAAATAGTTAAAAAAGAGATCGAAGAGAGAAATACAGTAAGATTGTTGGCAGTGCAGACAGCCCAACTGAAGGTAGTGACCATAACTTCAGTGGTACAAACTTGCCAGACAACACGATCTCCAGCTGCATGGGTGCAGAGTGTTAGGCTCACCCAAACTTGGTGTTTTGCTAGAATGACACAATAGGGCAGTAGCATATACAAGCTTAAATTATTTACATCTGCTAGCTAACCAAGAGGTCAGCAGTTAAAATCCACCAGCCGCTCCTTGGAAACCCTATGGGGCAGTTCTACTCTGTCCTATAGGGTCACTATGAGTCAGAATCGATTTAACGGCAACAGGTTTGGTTTTTGTTTGTTAAACTCAGTCGGCCAAAGAACACCAAGCTCAAGCCTGTAGTCTAGCAAAATCAGATTTTTCACTGCAATCAAGGGAGCACACTCCAGAGGAACTATGAAGACCTGTCTACAAAGGTAGCGTTTTTGGTAAGGTTTGGGTTCTTGATGAAGGATTCTGAGGAAGCTCTGAGGGAAGCAGAGATCAAGTCTGGATTGGTTACATGTGAGGTGGGATTGGGAGAAGCAGGGATTAACTAGGGGTTGGGTGCTGACACGAGGCAAGGGTGGTTTAGTAATTTCAGTTTTTCTTATATCCCATCTCTTATGTGTGTTGTAGTTTTGTTTTTAAATGAACCACCTCTATTCTCTTTGTATCTAAAACCAAAACCAAACCCATTGCCATAGAGTCGGTTTCAACTCATTATCTAGTGATATTTAATTATTGGTTAGTTAGAGATCTAGTAATGTTGCTGTACTTTTTACATGCTAGTTAAATAATTTTAAAAATTACAGAGAAATAAGGACCCAGGCAGGAGTAGGAAGGTTCAGCCCTGCTGGGTATATCACTGGAAGTGTAAGTTGTTGTTGGCATGAACTTTAGGTTAACTTCTAAAAGTTGTGCTAGGTAAGCATCATATTCTCTTACCCTAATGAACTCATGGCTGTTTCAACACATTGCTTCATACTGGAAAAGGGAGGACGGAAGGAAAAAAACCCATCAGCAAAGCAGGTCTGGGGGCATCATTGATAAGAAAGCAGTGGTCACACAAGGAGGGGTGATAGTGGCATTTTACAGCTGCTCTATGACGTTGGGACAAACAATATTTCCTGTTAACTTTGTGGCTCGAGTTATCTATCCTCCCAGCCTGATTAACCGTGAGGCTTTTTTCTGTTTCAGTCTGAGCTGATTTCAGTCTTGGGACAGGTTTTATTCTTTCATGTGTGAGTGACACAAACAATGGATCATGGAATCTAAACTGGATAGGCAGGAAATGTTAACAATTCCCTGACATCTGGGAATTGATCTGAAGCTGGACATGATAGAATATTCACTTAAGACAAGGTCATTGTGTAACCCACAAAATACCAAATAGTCTCCTTTCTCACTGAGTGACACTTTAAAACAAAACAATTACAGCTTTTTTCTTTCTCATCTAGCCTCCGTATAGGTAAGATTTATTGGCATACCGAATCATAAAATTGCCCCAGCTTTCTGCGAATACCCAATCTGGAGCAAACCTCTGGTGTTTTAGGAACTAAAAAAACCAAACCCATTGCCATAAAGTTCATTCTGACTTACGGCAATTCCATTTGTTACAGATGTGTTTTAGAATTGCTCCATAGACTTTTCTTGGCTATAATCCTTACAGAAGCAGATTACCAAGCCTTTTTTCTGTGGCACCACTGGGTAGGTTTGAACTAACAACCTTTAGGTTGGTAGATGAGCACAAACTGCACAGATTTCAACTCAGCGACCCAGGGACTTAGACCCTCCAAAATTACCCAACTAGCTGAGCCATGAGTCTCAATGGTTTGGCAGTTATGTAATGATGTAATTACCCTCCATTTTGTGATATAATATAATCACCTCCATGATGTGATCAATCAGTTGTAAGGGGAGTTTCCTCAGGGGTGTGGCCTGCATCCAATATATATGTTTTGGCAAAGCTCTGTGGCTTTTACTCACTCTGGAAACTGCATCCAGCTCATCATTATCTTACCTCCAGTTCTTGGAACTTGAGCCAGCAACCTGCAGTATTGCCTGCCAATCTTGAAATTAGTCAGCTTCCACAGCATGTGAGCTAGCAGCCTGCGGTCTTACCTGCTGATTTTGGGTTC